TATGAAAATAAATGGAAAAGTTCCAGGATATTTCTAGGAAATTTAATATTGGTGTTATGGTAACACTATGTACTACAGAATCAAACTGTACAAAACACTGTATACATGAGTAGGCTTTCTGTGGAGGAGAAAACAACTTTGATAATGATCTGAAAAGTTCAGCAGAAATTCCACAATCTCTAACTTCAGTATAAAATTAGAATATCGGAATGAAGCTGGATATTCTGAATTAAAGTTTAGCTTTTCTTCCCATACAAGTTAGTAAATATGTCATAACATATTTTGCATTTGACTTATCTTTTATCTTAAACAGACACAAGGTAAGAAGTCTTGAAATTACATTGTCACCTTGATATTAAGCATTGCAGAAAAATAAGGATACAACCACAATATTACACACAAACAGCATTTCTTATTGGTTTCTGAATGTTGTATGTCAACTTAAGATGATGAGTTCTGATACTGAACTGAAAGAAACCCTTTATACTTGCAGCAGATAAAACAAAAGACTTGATATTATATTCTCATAATAATAGCATGGAATCTGTATGATTGTTTAAAAAATGTGCAGTTGATATGACTTTTACTCACTATTTTTAGACCTAAAACGTTTCCACTTCACTATGTAATGCCAATGACCAATTAAGTATCATGTTATATTTGCCTAATCTATCAATCGTCTTTGATTTGTAGAGAAAATGATACCAAGAAAAAAATCTTGCACCTTTTACAAACAACATCAGCAGCTTTGTAGCAGTAGGAACATTGCTACAGAATACTGAAGTGATTGAAACAGCCATTAATTATAATATATTTTTGTTATTCTGCCTTATTAGTTATTTCATGTTGTTATTCATATAAAAGTAATATAAATAAAATTTGTATTACAAGTGTATTTTAAAATACCTTCCATTTTAAGAAAAAAAAATAGCAGTAAGCCATTATTATATTTATCGTTACTTTACTGAACCATGTACAAAATTAAATTGTATAAAATTATATATATTACATAGGTAGTTAGTTAAGATATTTCAAATTAATCATGATTAATGTCGACTGTGACAGAGTTGTGTTTGAAAACTACATGTTTAAGAATTTTAGTTTACTGTTACCATACATTGAAACACTGCCCTGTTTACTGGGAAGAAATATTTGTGGCACAATTAGTAGCATGGCACAAACTGCTACAAAATTGACACATAACATATATGAAATATGACACTAAGAAAAGTAGATGCATGCCTCCCTCTTAACAAAGTTAAGGTCTACAATTAGGCCTGCAGTTGGATGCTCAGGCTAAGTGAGAACACGCAGACAACTGCAAGTAAGTGCCACAATTCTCTTTGGGATGTCTCAGGCTTTTAGTGATGTTTGCATGCTACACACTGTGCTCATTGTTATCATATGTGATAATCATAATACAGACAATTTCAAGTTTCTAGGATCTCCCACAAGATTTTTTAATTTTTAGGACTTTTCCAGGAGATTCCAGGAAAGATACTTATTCCCAGGAATTCCAGGAAGCATGGGAACCCTGAAACACATAAGTAACATTACACCAAACTGGAAGAACAACCATTTAAAATTCTTTCTTACTTACATGGCCATAATGTATAGATAATTCAAAATTTCAATATTAATAATATGAATCAAACATTGAAATAGGCATTATTTAAAAGACCTTCTACAGCCAACCAACTACATATGTGGTTGTTACATGAAATAGACTGAAATAAATTTTCACATGTACTCAAATCACAAGACAATTAACTTCTAATCTTGAGTGATAATTTCTCTTTTCTGTATACTTTTGCATTACCATAGTTTGTGAAAAGTACGTTTGTCAGAAAAACTGACAGAAACATAAGGGGTTCAGTTGTTTAGTAATTACACAAGAATTATTATTTTATTTCACCCTTGTTATTGGTGTACAATCTTCTCAACACATAAGTATAAGACTTATGATTTTAAATGTGTTACTCGAAATACAAACAAACCTATACAGCTCCTATTCTTGAGGTTAAAAAGCAAAATAAAGACTAATTCATTTTATTTCAAGTTCACAGTAAAAGAGTCTGTAATTACTTATTAAATCCATGATTTCATCATAACTTTCTCCTTCAAATGACAAGAAATATATGCCACGTGAAGAGAAACATATATATTCAGAATTTTACCAATTCTGGCAGCAAATAATTTTTTAAAGACAAAATCCATTTAGTTAGCTTTTCTTAATAGATATAAAAATGTATATTAAATTAGTATAAACAAATTTTTCTTAATAATCTACTCAAGTTTACTGCTTAAATTTTATAAAAATAAAAACTAAGAAAAATTTCAATCATTAAGGCATAGATTCTAACAATGAAACTGATATTGTATGTGTGCAAAAAATGCCTTCTGATTCTTGTGCATGAAATTTGGTAAAAAAGAAGTTAAAAAAAAATGTTCACCAACATACAATTCTAGACACTGACGAACATACTGCTTTAGTTATTTAAGTTATAATTTTGGAGAGCATATCATGAAATGTAGATGATATTCACATTCTTGTGAGTGAATAATACTCGTTTGTGAAGGATGAAGCTTTCACAGACTCAGTTGAATGAGAATTGTATTTTAAGCTTTCTCACAATAAAAAATTAACTATAGAGACTGGTTGTTTAGTCTATACGTAAAGTATGTTATATCTGTTCTGAAAGAGCCAGTGTCTACAGACTCCATTTCAATCAAACATTTCTCAATGAGGTATACATGCGAGCTGCACATGTGTAACATAATTCAATGTATTATTTTACTGTAATTTGAGCTACTTGCTTGCCAGGTGATCCCTAGCTTGTTACACAGGTTTAGTAATTATGCATGGTCCAAAGAACAATAACATAATAAAATAAAAAAAACAGATAAATAATTGTAATTTTCTGTTATACCCTGCAGTCATTCTAGAAAGGAAAAAGGATCATTTAGATTTATTTTTATAGGTGGATGCAAGATCAGCAAAATGAGCCAAGCTTTTATAGTGTTAGGGTAAAGAAAATAACATATAAAATAGTTTTACTAAAAAAACTTTTCATATTCATTTAGAAGGTTTTGGAAATTATTGCAAATAAAATATGAAAACTGTAAGATGAAGAATATTTTTATTCTTAACATGAAAATTATTTTGCACTCAGACTAGTAAGGCTATGACTCCATAAATTCACTGACAAATCTTTAGTAAAAACACTTAATCAAAAAATCTAATTTTTGCATGTAAAAAAAGAGAAAAAAGAGTTGTAATATTTGATAAAGCTTGCCAAATTTCATGAAGATAAACTTACTACATTAAAAGTTATAGTATGTATAGTTTTCTGGGGACATGGTAATTAAAAGGGTGGTGAAAAGGGCCAAGCCTGTATACAGATAGTTAAAGAATTCTAAATTTTCATTGCCCCAATTCTCCACTTTATAATATTAAAAATAAGCGGTTACAGTTTCTATCTAATAAGAAACATAAACTAAACATAATTACAAGCAAGAATATAAAATTTGCACCTCCTACTTTCTTGATCTGCTGAGATATCAATAAATTTGTCAAACCCACCACAGTAGCCTCACCCCTCTCTCTGTTTTTTAAGACTGTTTTGATAATCAACTTTCATGACTGCTGAACATGTTTATAACCATTAGCAAGAACAAATCCTCTTCAACATAAGCTTCACTACAGCTAATCGATATTGGCACCCTTAGAATAACAAGCTGTCATAGTTTTTGTGTGAGCAAACACCATATTCCTACACTGATTATCTAATGAAATGTTTTAATTTAGTTATAGTTTGGAGAGTCAGATAAATTATAGTAGATAAAGTATACAGTTTTATTGAAAAAACTTTCAATATTCATTTAGGATATTCTAGAGGTTATGCAATTGAAATGTGAAAACTCTAAGGTGAAAAAGAAGTCTTAGCACGAAAATCACCTATCACTCATACGACTCAACAAAGGCTTTCGAAATTCACATACAAATCTTTTGTAGAAATATCTTATACAAAAAATCTGTTTTTTTTTTTGTGTACAACAGACTTTTAAGATTAACTAAAAGTTTGCCAAATTTCAAGAAGATACAATTAGTAAATTTACAGTTATAGCATGAATATTTTCCCATGCCTAGATTGCTGTTAATGTATTGATAGCAGTTATATTTTCTAGTGCTTGTGAGAGACTAACAAAGCAGTATACTGATACTTGACTCTATTATGTGTAAAAATGTTTAAGAACAAATCTATAAATAGTTTAAACATTTAATACTAAAACTCTGCATTAACCATTTCAAATTCTGAAGAGTATTTAACTGTCAATCCTCAAAACAATTCTCCTTAAATATTAAACTACGAGTTTTATTATATATCTTAAATATACTGACTGCTGAAAATAATACAAGAAACTAGATGCAAAGAACTCATTTAACTTAAACTAAAGAACTTAAAAATGACATACATGAATGTAAAAATACTTCAGGTGCTTAACCACACACCTAACTGAGAAAACAAAGGTTAAACAGTTTAAATGGAAAATAAAAATTAACATTTACTTAAGCTTTCTGCACCCAGACCTTTAGTGTGGTGTGAGCATATTCAAAGTATCAATGTATATTTTAGCCCCAATAAATATGCAATCAAACAAAAAACTAAACAAAAAAATTTTGAGTAATGACATTACATAGGATTAAAATAATTAAAAAATAAGATTTAATTATTAAAAACATACATAAATTATAGCTTTGTCAATGTTGTGTTTCAAAGCAATTTGTCTATTTTATTTTTATGCAATGTTTACATGAAATGTAACCTCCAGATTACGTTTTTAATTCAAAGAAAAGTATGAATCTGTTTAAAACTTATCTTATTATTCCTTCTACAAGTTAAGCTATGATTTCTTTTTGGGGAAAGAATTTTCTAGCATTATCATATGGCCACTCAAACAACAAACTTTTATACAATCCAACTAGCACCTTACAGAATCAAAGCTCAAACTATTTATTTGGGGAACAAAAAACTATGCACATGTAAACAGGCCTTGAAGACACATAAACAAATAAAATTAAAATAGTTGTTTTTTAGTCATTATTGCTCTATTTGAAAATAACAATTCATGTAGAGATTTAGCATTATAATAAAACAAAAAAATTATTATATAATATGTATAAAATGAAAAATAAAAGCAAAAATTAATTTCATACTTTGACAAAGGTATTTGGGCAGTCAATACGTTTCTTATGAAACCCACTCATTGCTGATTATTGACAACTATCCTGACTGAAAAAGTAACATTTGATAATTATAAAGCTAAAAAAGTACATAATGATGAAGTGCTGAAAACTGGAAATCTGTAATCCAACAACAATAAAAAATGAAAATGGTTAAAACTAGATAGTATAACAACTATCTCAAAATAACAGTGATACAACTAAACAAAAAAAAATTTACCAGAAAGGCTCAGTTTACTGAAAAGTACTGTGTGGGCTATTATTGACAAACAAATGAAAACTAGAACTACTGCGACTAACTTCAAGTGTGGGACACCAAGAAAGATTTCTGCAAAATCTGGAAGAATTGTCAAAAAAGCTCAGCAGGGTCCTCTAAATAAAGATTTGAAATAAGAAATGAAACAAGATGGTCAAGAAATTCATAAGCAAACAAATCAATGATACTTTAAAAAGATGAATATCTATGGACAAAAACCAAGATGTAAAACTTTGTTAAAAACAATACACAAAAGAAAGCATTAGAGTTTTTCATTGAATACTTGAATTTTCATAAATTGAAAATAGAAATTTTTAATCAAATTTGAGGAGGAGAGGAAAGGAATTTAAAGAAAAATTCATCATGTCTATTTTTAAACATGGTGGATGTTGTGTGAGGATGAATTTTGTATTGTAAAAGGATCAATGAATGCTGTAAAAATCAAGAAGATTTGCACTTTGTTACCCAGTGCTAGAAGACTTATTGTACAGAAATTTGTATGTCAGCAAGATAATGGCAATAAGTACTCTGCAAAGTCTACAAAAGAATTTCTGAAAAAAAAATAAATGAAAAAAATGACAGTTATAGATTGACCATCTCAGTTCCCAGGTTTGAAGGCTGCTATATCATAAAAGAAACAAAAGTATACTGCAGAATTCAGAGCTGCATGTGTTAAAGTCTGGGCAAAACATCTCCAGAAAGATGCTAAGAACGGGTATCAAAACACAAAAAAAAGAATACAACTAAAGAAAGAGTGCCCAAATACTTTCATCATAGTAGGAAATTACTTTTTGCATGTTATTTTTCATTTAATGTATGTTATGTAATAATTGTTTTATTATAAAGCTGAATCTCTAATGTCAATTGTATCATTAGAATTATAAATGATACAAATTACCTTCATTGTGGTTTTTCACATGTTTAACTGTTTAATACTTTTGACTGCAACCTTATTCTCATAAGATAAACTAATAAAAAAAAGTAAATGAAATTCATTTTGATACTTCTAAGTTAAGAAAGTAGCATGCTACTTCTCAGGAAGTTGTGTGTTTGATAATGCTTATAAAATTCTTCTGTTAGATAGTACCTTATTTGAAAAGAGTTAAGTGTTGTCCAAAATCACCACTATAAATAACACTATTAACTGTATCAAGTTTTACTAAACAATGCTCTATATCATTCTGTCACAAGCCATATTAGTTAGATATAATTTCATCAAGCAGCACTATCAGCATAATCATGAAGCAGGCAGCATACACTAATGAAATGTATGGCCTTTGGTTTAACTAGTTTTTATATATCATTGCATTAATTTTCATTTTACGTGCCACATTACTCTTTTATTATTAAGCTTAAAATATAAACACATACATACATGCAAATAACCCAAGAACAAAGCATAATGGTCTCTTTAACAATTTGATGGGGTATCTTGAGAAACTTAACTTTTGTGTGAAGTTCTATATCTACTTTAGCCAAAGTTTCTGGCATTCAAACAATTCATGACAAAAGAATTATACCTATTACAATACATACTGTTTTAAAGTATTACATAATAAAATTCTGAGTAAAAGAGAGAGAGCGAAAAACATACGAGTATCAAACCTAAATTAGATACAAAACTATAAATAATAAAAAAAAAAAGTATAATTTCAACCTCATACCTGGCCTATAACTCATGGCTTTTCTCCTTTTTTTTTCATATTTTGACATGTGATGGAAAGTCCCAGTCTTCACAGAAATGTGTACAACACAGCTACAAGAACTTTTTCAGCAAATTAAACAGGAGAGAGAAACACTATTTATAGTTTCAGCATAGCACTGTCTAATTTTGCTTATGTTCTAAATCTTGCTCTGATCATACAAATAACAGCTACAAATAAAGAGGTTTGAAGGGACCTACCTGCCTGAGTCCTAGATACCTGTAAGAAAACTAAAGAAGTAAAGCTGCCTTCATATACAAAAAAAGTGAAACACAGCTTCACTTACCTTTGTACAAGTAACACTCACTACTTGTCACTGGTCTGCATCCTTGTCTTTTAGATGTCGAAGATCAGTGTCAGCTAAGACTCTGAGATCTGTATCTGGAACTCGCATGTCAGTGTCTTGTACCCGCATATCAGTATCTCCATTCTTACCTAATGATAAACAAAAACTTCTAAATCAGAATTATTTTATATTCCTGTTTCTATTCTATACTGATTGACTAAATTTCTGTAGTTCACTCCAATTCTCCTCCTTTTCTTCTCACTGCTTTATTTATTTCTTACATATCAGACAATTCTAATATATCAGCTCTCCTAGGTGAACTTCAAAAAACAGTGCCACCCCACCCACAAAGTGTGTGTTGTGTCCAATGGACATATCATAGGAGTATTATCAATAAGTACTACCTACAGTAAAAGAAAATAAAGTCAGCATAAACAAAGAAGATAATTTAATATTATAAATCTTTTTAACTGTAAAATATTGGAAGAAATAACAGAAATTCCCTTGTAGTTTTATAAATAATACTGAATGAGTACTAGAATAATTATAAATATTAAGTAATTTTTTTGTGATCATGAAGTTACAATTTGACAATATGAATAGATATGAACCACTACTGTGCCTGTCATGTCTCACCCAGCCTGATGAGCACTAGATATAATAGATATAGTGTGGATGACATCCTGTTACACATTCATCTTTACTTTCACTCATAAGTTCTTAGAATTACTAACGACGTCTTCTGTTGAAACTGTGGTTGCTTGACCCACTCCAGAAACAACAAGACTAGCTTGTTGGATTGCTAGTTCTTCTGAACTTTAAGTAAATTCACGTAAAAATAAATAACAATAATAAATAATTGGTGTTAAAATAAATAAATAATATTGTGGTACTAACCCATACTATAATTTGACTTATAGATCACCCACACAAAATTGATAATATAACTAATGTCTCTACTACCACTGTGCCTGTTGAACCCTGGTATTGGATGAAAGGCCTAATTGGCACTGGTTACAGCAGGTATAGTTTGGTTGAAATATTATTACACATTATTCTTTACTTTCACTCACACATTCTTAGAATTATATTTAGAAAAGCTGTAACCTATTATAAACATAACAACAGTTAAGGGAAAGAAAATAAGGGAACATCAATTAGATAATACATTTGACTTAATTCGGTAAAACTGAGCTAAACCAAGCTGTAGTATTAAGTACTTTAGGTAAGATTGAGGTGACCATAAATAATTGCTATTGTTAGTGGTCTATATGATCATCTAAGTCTAACTATTAGTTGCTAACTTGTTTTGTTTTTGGATTATCACATAACTATATAAGCTAGTTGCTATCAGTTTTAGAGAAGTCCTGAGAAGGACTAATTTCTGGATTCAATCTGGAGTTTTCTTGATAGTGGGATTGATGTGTTAAACATTCGTCCGAGGTTCCCCCATTAGAACTTAGCATATTTGAATGCTTTCAAGAGATACCAAGGTTTTCCTTACTTTTATACTAGGTTGGCTGATTGTACTAACAGTTACATGGATGTGGAAGGTTTCTTTTATCTTTCTTTTTCTCATTTGTGGTTTATCTTATTTAATGTATGGTCTTTTTCTTTAGCAAGACAGGCCATTGGAGACAGACTGGTATTAAACTCCTATATATCTGTTTGACTCCTTATTTACCTTTTGTTAGTCTTTTTGTTTCTCCATTGTATTTGAATCCTTTGTGTTTTCACAGACCTTTGATAAGCATAATATGGCTGTGTGTATGCAATTTTCTTCCTTCCTATTCTTGGCATATACCTTCTTTACTTTCTTCTTATCACGTGTTTCAGGTAACCAAAGTCAATATGGGCTGTAGTGATGTGTATTTCTTACTTTTCCTCAATATCATTACTTTGTTCATTCTTGAAACTAGGCAGTCTGTGATCTCCATCTTTACACAGTTGGGCAGTTTGATTTACAGTTGATCTATTTACCTGTAACTGTGGCCTTCCTGAAAGCTCCTGTGGTTCAACACCCTCGACTATATATCAGACAACCCCAACAGTGTAAAGACCAAAGTTATAGACTACCTAGTTTCAAGATCAATTCCACTTCTCAGCTATACAAATTAAATTCCAAGTTTCTGATAGAAATTATCCATCTCATCCAACAAAAATTACTTTTCTCGGGTGTCTGTCAAAATTTCCCTCCCAAAGTTTCTAACTAAAATTATCCTTCTCAATATCTGATGTAAATTATCATTATTAGAATCTTGACACAAAAAATATTTACAGAGATTTGGAATTTATAAAATTTTTTAAACATCTGATCATGATGTTTATTAAGTATCCAATAAAAACAGACTTCAAATATCTCATGTAAATTATTTTTGTGAGCAACCTACAGTCAATTATATATTTTCAGTATTCAATTCTAATTCTTTTTTCAAAGACATGAACTTTTCTTCTCAAGTTTTCAGATTAAATCATCCCTCTTATTAGATTTAACATCCTCTGCAGTTTCTAATGCAATTGATAAGTAATTCAAGTCCATTATTTTAGCATGTTGCATTCAATTTTATTTTCATTAAATAAGCATAGTAGATAAACTGCTTTTATTATTCCTTATTCAATCTAAAAACCTTCACAAATTCAAGGTCTAAATCTTAAATTTACCTTTATATATATATATATATATATATATATATACCTGTATCATCACCTCCACTTCTTCCACTTTCACACCTGTCTTTGCTATTCCTACGATAATCTGAGTCTTTAGACCTTTCTTTTCTCTTATCTTTGCTTTCTTTGTCTCGGTGTTTGCTTTCATTCATTTTCTCCCGAGAGCGACTGTGAGATCGACGTGAGCGTCTAGATTCTCGTGACCTGCTCCTTGAACGTTGTTTTGACCTGAAACAGAGAGAACAAAGTTTGCTCCAGACAACGATGCATTATTAAGTTCAATTTAACATACGCTGTGATTTTAGAAAACTTGCAATATAACTAGATACATTACTAAACTTCTCATTTTACCTTATGACAACTATAGCTGATTGATTAGTGAAATTAAATCTTTTGCTACTGGCTCGATTGATAGGACAAAGTTCATGACCCCAAATTGACCTTTAGTTTCCATACTATAACTTCTAATATGTTTTATGTATCTTCACAAAATTTCAGATACCTGAACCTACAGTTGTTTATCCTAAATAGTTAAAAGCTCAAAACAGTATACATCTGTATATACTTAATTTTATTGTTTTACTGCCCTTTAAACTGTGTCTAACTAATAATCCCACCATCCAAGTTGTAAGTCACTCAGCAAACATGTAGCTCACATTACTCTATCAAATAACATAAAACACCTATTTGTGAACATACCTTGTGAAAATTTTTTATTTTTCTTTACCTTACCTAATCTAACGTTATCTCACCTAACAATTTTTCTAACTATAATATTTTAGTAACCTTTATGATAATAAATAAAGAATACACATGAAAAAGTAGAAAAATAGTACTTACCTTGGTCATTGCCTTTTTTTTTCCTGTCAACTGTCAATGAAACTTAACTCTACCTTCTTAATACTAATGCTACTATGGCAATAATTTTTTATTTAATTAAATAATGCACCTAATTACACATTGAATAATAAAATTTAAAAAGCAGAAAATATTCTATAACTATGATAATTTTTCTGGCTTTCTAACTATGCAATCACCTAAGCTCCTTGATGTGTTTTCCTTGGAAATAAAATTTTAACTGGAAATGAAAGACAATTTTCTGTACAAAAAACAATATAATACATCAGTTGTTTGATTAAAAGTTTGAATATCGATTGGTTATAAATCATATAGTATTAACCCCATTACCACGGGTATACTTTACTGCACATGAAACAAGGTTTTAGTGTCTTACATTCAAAATTTTATAAAACTAGTTTTTGTTTATATTATACCAATTAGGATAGCTTACAATCTTGGCTAATAATCCATATTTTAATAGTATATAAGTTTTAAGTTCTTAATTCTATAAGGCAATATTAAAAAAAAATCCTGAATTTCTCCTAGTGTGACCTGCATGATACATTTTTTCTTAGCACGTCATCTTCCCTATTTTATCCATCACCCCTCAAACATTTTGTTTGGTTACAGAGCTATCTAATAGAAAATCAGACCCTTCCTGCCACACCTACCTATCACTTTCTCTCTTTCAAAATTAATTGATAGTTCTCTCTTACGTTTATTTATATATTACCTATAACCAAAAGAATGTCAAGGTTTTCATCTATGAAATGACATATTGTATAACATTATGTTTTGAACAGATAATCATCTATTTCACTTAAAGTAGCAACATCATTCCCATGGGAAAATTAATGACTAGCTTGGATAAATTTGTAATGACTCTTGTCACATAGTCAGAAAACCAGGAAAATTTTGAGAGGTAAGTGAATTTGTCTACTTTTTTGCATGCTATTAGTCTATATTCTTTGGTGCATTATTTAATTACATAAAAATTATTATGTGTATTACTATCTGCAGTATAAAAATTAGGGTTAACTCTCTTCAAAACCCGACAGAAAGAAAAATTAGGTAAGTACAATATTTCTTGTTTTTCATATTTATTCCTTATTTATTATTAGTAAAAGTAACTAAAATCTAAAAATATGGATCTTTTTAAGTTATTTAAGACTAGATTAGGTAAAATAAGTAATACTAATAATATAACTAAAATGGTTCACAAGGCATGCACAAGAACAGCTCGTGGTTAATGTAATTCGATAGCATAACATGAGCTGCACATTTCTCGAGTGATTTACAACTTATAATGGTGCGGATAGCAGTTAGACACAGTTCAAAGAGCAATAAAACAATAAAATTTAATTATAAATAAATGTATAATGTTACTAACTTAGAGCTACTTAGGATAAACAAATGTAGTTTCACGTTACAGCTTGAAATCATTCTAGAAAGAAAAAAGGTTAGTTTAGGTTTATTTCGATAAACCTAATAAAACAATAAAATTTAATTATAAATAGATGTATAATGTTACTAACTTAGAGCTACTTAGGATAAACGAATGTAGTTTCATGTTACAATTTGATTTGAAGTCATTCTAGAAAGAAAAAAAGGTTAATTTAGGTTTATTTAGATTTTTTATTGGTGGTTACGAGATTGGTCAAATTGACAGATCCCATTTTTCAGATAGGGTAGAGAAAATAACAGATAAATTATAAAGTTTTACTGAAAAAAAAAACATTTGAAATGCATTTAGGAGGTTTTAGGGATCACACAAATGAAATATGAGATTTTTGAGATGAGGAAAAGTATTTTTGATTTTAACACGAACTATTCAAAAAAATACTCAATATATTCATGGACACATCTTTATTTTATTTTATTAAAAATACTTCTCTAAGAAATATGAGTTTTTGTATGTGAAAGACTTGTAATATTAACCCTGTCACACCGGGGTAACCTTTACTGCGTATGACACAAGGTTTTATTGTCTTACATTCAAAATTTTATTAAATTACATATTTTACTAGTATACAAGTTTTAAGTTCTTAATTCTATAAGGAAATATTTTAAAAAATCCTGAATTTCCACTATGTGAAAGACTTGTAATATTAACTGAAAGACTGCCAAATTTTGTGAGGATATACCCAATATATATATTGTCATAAGTATTAAATTTATAAAGACTTTAAACAAGTACAAAAGGTCATGTGACTCGGTCAAATTGACCGACCCTGTGTTAAGAGAGTTAACTGAAAGACTGCTAACTTTCGTGAAGATATACCCACTATATTGAGAGTTATAAGTATTAAATCTATAAAGACTTTAAACGAGTACAAAAACGTCACTTGTCGATCAAATTTACAGAGCCCGTATTAAAAGTGTTAATAAAAGGTAATAATATTACTGGTCTGAATACATCACAAACCTTTCTTTATCAGTCCTCTCATGTTTTGACTTTTCCCTACTACTGTGTGAATGCCTACGTTCTCGACTCCTACTTCGCCTTTCACGACTCCTACTTCTTCTTCTTCCCCGATCTCGGCTTCGTGAACGGCGCCTATATCGTTCACGTTCTTTTTCTTTCCATTTTCGTTCTTCTTCTTCTTCAAGTGTTTTCCTTCTTTCTTCTCTTTCCTTCTCTCGCTTTCTTTCTTCTTCCTCTTGTCTTCTACGTCGCTCTAGTCGTTCTTTTTCTATTTGATTTTCTCGATCTTCTCTTTCTTTTATTCGTTGTTGCTGAAAAAAAAACATTACAAAAAAATTACTTGGATTGTAATGAGTTAAACAATGAAAATAAGCTGTGCTTTAAAGAATAAAAATATGCTTAAAATAAAATAAGAATATGTTAATTGTTTGGCTGTTGGTAACACTTCAAGGTATTCAAGGATATTGATTCTCCAAGATATACGATATATACAATATAATCTATATATCTTTGTTCATTAAAAATAAATTTTGGTGCTAGAAACATTTTGTATACAATATATACAAAAATGTACTGATATTGGGTTAATAAATTTTACATAACAATTTTTAATAATTGTTATTTAAAAAATTATGAAAAATACAAATATTACTTAATATTTTTTAGTGATTTAGTTTCTCAAATATAGAGATACAAGAGGAACTTGTAGAAATTCTCTTAGTTCAAATGCTGGTTACCTTATTCACTTATCTCCAAATTATTTTATACTGTTTATAATTCATTTCTATTTATTTTGGTCAACATTCAAGATGACCGTTCAAAGTGAAAAGAAGTGATCATTTCAATACTTTTGATTAGTTGGTCTTAGAGTGCTCCAGCAGATAAATAATAGCTAACACAGTGTTAAATCAGAAACTCATTAAATACAGAACTGAGGATTACTCAATTGCATTCCACTTCTTACAAAACATAAGTGAAAAATGTCCAGAAAGATGTCCAAATGGTTACCAGTTTTTCATTTATGTTCATGATTCTATTGCTTTAATTGAATTGCATAAATGATTTTAAAATCAATGTACTTAAAGTGTGTAAAGAAACTGGCTTGTGTCACTATATTTACCAGTAGTTTTACACATTGTTGAATGTTTGGTAGATCTCAATTTTACTTTAAACCTAACAAAGACAGATCTCTTTAAGGTGTATAAAGGTTATAATTAATACAGTTTTTTAAGAAAATGTGGTTTATGTGACGTCCTTCAATATTTTTATCTCAACGACATTCAGTACACATGGAGGGCTTAAAGGATTTTCAAAGTTTTGAAAGCCTGCTGAATTGAATGTACATAGAAACCATTTGTTTGCCTGAATGACACCTTATGCACACACACATTGGGATAAATTGCCAGGTCACAGACATCTGAGGTTCAGGAATAGCCATCCATAACCTTAACTACAGACTATAGGGAAGGCAACCAGTCAGCAGGTACAGAGTTTTTCACTTTTGTAACATTTTTTAAATGAAACTTAAAATGCAATTAATGAATGCATCAAAATAAAACATAAGTTTCTATAATGAAATTTATTCTGAAAATAAAAATGTTCTCAGGAATGATTTACTCATTAACAATTTACCAAAAGTATTGTGTGATGTTAAATTTTCTAAATAGAGACACAATTAAATAACATTTGTCTCTGCTAATAAATACTATATAAGGTACTAGTGGATTTCCAGACGAATGACTTAACACTTTTTGGTCACAACTTAGTAACTCTTTAAAGGATACTTTTAATAAAATCATTTCTACTGGATAACTTTCAAAAAATGTGCAAAGAGCAGTTAACAAAATAATTTAAAAAATAAAACATGATTTGACTGAAAGTCAACCAACAGTACTAAAAAATAATGGTTTTGATTCTTCATAATAATCAGTTCTGCTATAGTTAGTTGAAGTATTTTTTATAAAATTCAATTCTATTGATTTTGGTTAACAAAAAGAAAATATATTTAATGTAATTTCATATATTAGATATAGCTACTTACAAATTGAATTCAAATTATATACTGTTGAAATTTTATATTAAAACTTACTTCACTTATTACATGCAGCTCAAGTTTAATATAACCTATTAACTTTAAATGAAGAGTATACAAGGTGACTCAACCACTGGATAGGTTTTTACTGTTGCTCTGAACCCTTTTTTTTAATGTCATCCTGAAAAGTTAATCTGAGTTTTATGACCTGTTTTGCTATTTCCTGAATATCAACAACTCCTTTTTTCAATCTATACTAACATTATAGATATTATGGTAAGGTAGAATTTAATGTAATAAGCACTGAAATGAATTTATCTAATAACTGGGAATGTTTACAGAACAATCAAAATGATTCCCTCTCAAGTTTTGTTGGACAAATTAAGGACTTAAATTTCTTGTTATTTATCTTTGTAATTATAGTTATCATTTTCATTACATTCAGTGATTAGATTTTTCACCTAATAACTATTTACATTGAAGGAAAGTTTTAAACAATCTTTACTAGTAACAAGTTGCACAATATATTTATTAATGGATACAATGGATATTTCTTTAGAAATATTATCTTCATTTAATTTGGGTGCTTTAGTGTATTGGAAAGCTTCCAAAGTAAAATGGAACAATACTTGTTGTTCAGTGTTACTTCACAGTCTGTATTTATAAACTCAGTATTATTTTACAATATATCTGATATACCTTATACTTTCCTTTCTGGATCTTAATTAGAAACATTTAAAAGACACTGTAAATATTACCACATATCAATGGCAGGATTTTTTTAAATCTCTCTTACAGCTGGTTTACTAAATGGAATGTTTGAGGTGTTTCAAAATGGATTTACAATCTAAATATCCACAGTCAGTATCATTTACCTAAGTATTTCCAGCATGTGTAATATTATCAAAATATGAGTTCTCAACTCTTTCAGAAGAAACAGAATGATAATGAAAGCTAAACTGAATCTTCCTGCTCAAAAGTGTATAGTACTTGATACATAATCACAATACACACATTCAATGGAGGTTACTTTATCAGGTTCTTTCCACAATAAGTTGATTACTTGAAGTGAATTTGTGGACACTGGCAGTTGTCTCTAGTGTGAAGTGTCATGATATAAAAGACTGTTTCGTTCAGATGGTACTGAATAATTTAGTTTTGTGAGTGAATGTTTTATTATTGTTTAGTTTTTGTTATATTAAGAGCTAAAAGCAGATGATTGTAGGAAGTTTTGTTAATAATTCTTTGGTGTTGAGAATACCGAATGTCACGTGCAATATATTGATGTCAAGAATATAGAAAGTGGACAGACAATTAGGTGATAAAGATATAAATAGTGTGAGACGAGCGGGAAGCAGCAGACAAACACATAACAGCAAAAGAAAATAAAGTTGGTGTGAAGTCAACTACAGTAGAAGTGATAGACCTAATGATTGACATAGGCCTAACATTTAATATGTTAGAATAAAACTAACAGTTGAAAAGAAGAAAAATAATTTTATTCTGTCAAAGCGTGGTGCTAAAGTAACCGAATCAGCCTGAGTGCACTTTGACAAAATGGACCGAGGATCTTCCCCAAACAATTACAGTAACTCGCACCACAATTGTAAGCAAATCACAGAGAATACTAGTGCGATAGAAATAGAGAAGATGGTTTGGCTTGTCAACTGAAATTCTAAGGTAATTGAATAGGCCTAAATGGATATTTGAAAAGGATAGAACTACATATATAATATTTATATGTCCATAATATCTATAGTGTTGAAGAATTTATTGTACATATGTGAACTTGTTCTGAATATATATATTATTTTGAAAACAAGTGAAGTGTGTGCTGTTTATTCAAAGTTGAATTTATTGCTAACATGTCACAGACACCTACTGTAGAAGAATCCTAAGCCTAACAAAAACATAGTATATATTTATACTATTAAAAAATATAACTAAAAGCCTTTTTATCTTGACAATTTGCAAAGAATTATACTTGAAATTCTGACATGACGAAACAATAACTCTCTCTCTCTCTCCTTTTTTGTTTAGTTTAGATGTATAAATAATCCTTTACTCAACAATAATAATCTAATATATTTTAGGTTATTAATGGTGAGCAAAAGACTACACACCTAAACCAAACAAATTTCTCCACCAGATGAGGTCACTTTATACACTTGCTTCATTCTTTCAAGCAGAACTGTATAGCCATGAGTTAAGCAAAACTAATCTGTTGCAGCAGAAGGAGCAAATCAAAGAATAGATTAGGCCTCTACATCAGCTTTTCTTCACTGAAATTCCAATTTGGGTAAAGAAAAGAAATTTACAATAGGTGTCTTTATTATAACTCTTTCTTTTGTTCACTTAATAGATTATTAATGGATTAAATTTATAGATTAATTATTTTATCTTAGTTGAAAAACAAAATATTAGTGAAAACTACCATTCTTAATATCAGAAATAGCATCATACACAATTTATAAAATGAATATTACAAAGCTTACACTCTTAATTGATTACTAGTTAATTTATAAGTTGAAATTTATTATTATGCTCATAATTAATTTTCTATCAATATATATATATTATATGAGATCATTTATTTTAATAACAGATTAAATCTCTCAAAACAATTTCAAGGGGATTTCTAATGTAGATAAACATTTATTATTATTACTTTAGCACTAATTTGAATCAAAACTTCAACATGCACTTTTTAATAGTGCATTGTAAGTTAATTTTTTCCTACAAGTTTTTTTTTTTTTGTAAAATCTTACACTTACAATTTTTGAATATATAGAAAATTGTAAAAAAAGTATTTATTATTCCATGATGTCATTCTCACCAAAATTTCTTCTACAGCAGATTTCAGTCTAGCATATCCAACATGTTGTTTCCCCATTAAATGATCATCTACTCGCTGCTGAGCATCACCAACAATCAGGAAAGCTCCACAAACTTCACATACTTCCATTTGTTTCTCTTGAGCAGCAGCTATTTCAGCAGTTTGCTGAAAATCATGGCAAACAAAAAAAATAAAATATTTAACAGCTAATAAGATTCAGAGAAATTTTGTCTTATAAAAACTATTTAGCAACATTCTGTCCAAGAACTTAATTTTAAGCACTTTAATCCCAGTATTTTCAAATGTTTTTAAGTTGAGAACTATTGTATAAAAAGTAACTTATAATTTATTATTACTTATTCCCTTTAGGGAAAAAGTAAGTTAGACTTGGATTGAAGAAGAGAAAAAAAACTGCTTGATGTATCTATAAACTGAACACATAATTGGAAAGACATGGCTGTGTTAGACAAATGATAACCTTTATGTTAAGTATCTCATGCAAAACATAGACCTAAGTTTTTTTACCTGCAAGAAAGAGAAAATGAAACATGCAAAGATAAAATCAACACCATTAAAAATCCAATACTTACTGCTGGAGTTCCCTATGTAGAAATTGAGTAATTTTACCTCATTTTTTTGGTCAGTTCTTTACAATAAATAATGTAGCAAGCAAAGACAGAAACTTAACCAATATAGTGCAGTATAGCAAACAGCATAAAAACAAGTCAGTAAATCTGAGGGTTAAAATATTGACACAAATATGTTGATTACAGCTTGAAGAGGTAGGACTAATCAGAGTTAACATGATAAAAGCCTTCTTTTTAAAAACTATGGCTTCGTTGAGCTACATAAGATATTACAATGAGCTTAGTATCAAATATAAGCATTACATAAAAAGGATATTTCAAACCAAATTCATGGCAGACAAATTAGAACAAATCAGATACGACAAAATGCATATATTCTTTACTAAACTAACAGCATAATGAAGTATTGACTATTGTGAAAAGTGATAAACACAGCAGCTAAATATGGTCAAGAAGTAAATATGCTTAGTTTGCCAAGACCATCTAATCAAGGTACTTATATTTACATTTTTAAGGTTTTGATTTTTAAATCTTTAGTATATATGTGTGTGTGTGTGTGTGTGTGTGTACACATCTCTATAACTCCATTATCCATGTTATTAGGTAATTTCAATTCAATACTAAATTTTAACAGAAATGTTGCAAAACGTAGCATGTCTACCTTACCCTGTAACAACAGAGTTAAATTTATATATCTATATATTTATATGTACATGCCAAAAAAAATCTTTACAAAATCCACTCATACCATACAATAAGACAATAATTACATTTAAAAATATTTCCACTGATTGTCTTTCAACTTTACTACTCACCTGTAACCAGTGACTAGGTTCAGAACCTTTTCTCAAAGTTTCTCTCTCCTCCTTCAGTTGATCTACTAGTTTCATTATTCCTTGAGCTTCTTCCACTTTACCTTCACAACCCAGTTCCTCAACCTAGAGAGAGTTGATAAACATGTGTGAATAGTTCATACACGGACATATTCCCCAATCTTTTATCTAATATTCTAGTTCTGTTCTATACAGTATGTATGTATCTGCTAAAACTTTTAATACTGATAAAGACTACTTTACTACTACTACTACTATAAAAAAAAGTATTGAATATTAATTTTCTGAACTGCTGCTGTACAGAGAATTAATAATTACACCTTACAAATTAGTTATATGCCTTATTCCTTTCTGGACCACAGGAGTGAACCTATCAGTCTTTTATATTCTCACAGTGAAATTATTTAATTAACTTGCATGAAATTTAGTACAAACTTTAAGTAGTACATAGTTTCTCTCAGAAAAAAAAATCCACAAAAGTTGAAAACACCATTTTGAAAAAAAAAACCAATGAAAATACTTCCTTTCATCTTAAGACATTATTACCATGCATCAGAAAGTTTCATCTTATATAACCAATCAGTTTTAACTTGTTTGATATTCAGGAAAATATTTATTTTTATATTTTATTTTATTAAATTAAGCATTCAGTTTACCACTATAAATCACAAAAAACTCAACAAGACTGAAAAAGGTTTATAAATGATCTTGTTACTATTACCTGTCAGTACTATAGCATGTTATTTTGTTGTTATTCTTCTTTAGCACAGAACTACTCAAAGGGCTATATGCATTCTCTACACTGTTGAAAATCAAACTCCAGTTTTAGCATTTCAACTCTGAACTTACTTCTGACTTACTAAAGGACAACATATTATTTTGACAAGAATATTTTTTGGTACAGGTCAGTTTATAACTGTTTTAATTAGTTTATTTTCTATAAATAATAAGTTATTGTATTTGTGTGTGTTGTCTGAATACAATCAACTTAACAAAATATTGCATAAAAAAAAAGCTAATTGCATCATCAGAATAACATGCTATTGAAAACATGACCTACCATAATTGCTATATCTAAATAGCCTTATTTGACATTTTTTCAAAGAAGAATATTCCTGTTTTCTAACATAAATAAATCAGAAAGATTGCATTGCAAAAACATTACGAGAAATGAGAAGGTCATTATCAATAATTATGAAACTATGGCTTCTAATTATGAAGGAAGTATCTAAAAATTCCTCTTAGGCTTGCTTCATTATTACTGACCACATTAAAAAATTTTAATTGCTTCACTAATTTCCACAAGGCCTTATCGTACTCTCGACTATACACTATTAAAATCTAGATACTTTTCTTTCAATCAATTACCAGCTTAAGGCTTTTTACCATTTTCAGAGTTAAGTACCACTCAAAGTTTTCAAGAACTCTATGAAGAATAAAATAAATATTAGTCCACTAATATATTCACAGTTAAAGAAACAGAAGGAATACAAACACAAAATAAATGTCAGGCTAACCATAAATGTTGAAATTTAATTAAGAGAAATGAATGTGTATATTAAGCTGAGTAGTTAGCTATCAAAAGCATGGCATGCTATACTAGCTAAACTTAAATATCCTTATGTGCTGCCTCATCAAAAAAGATGTTTCTGTAGCTTTCTAATAGAAATAATATAGTAAATATAAGATCTAAAAGTGTGATTTTTACAGTTCAGGAAAAGAAAGTTTAAATAATTTTAGAATTTTTATTCCTGAAATAAACTAAATAAGCATTAAATAATGCTAAAAATTAATTTTACAAAACTTCTGAGAAACAATTATTGAAAGTTATTATATTTTCAAATTAAATGTTAAAAGTGTAAGTTGTAAGTGTGCATTTGGAAGTGACCTGATAGACCTACCTGTACCAACAGAAGTAAAAAATTAAAAAAAAAACATTCAACAACAATTAGTACATGTTTGCATTTACAAGTTTTTGTTTACACTGTAAACACAAAATTTTAAAGTTAACATTTTCTTACTCTGCAAATATATTTTCGATAGGTACCGCATCTCACCCAAAGCTATCTCAATCCTGGTCTGCCCTCTAACATTGGTAACAAAAATTTCACTACAGCACACCAGTCCCATAAGTTTTGCACCATTTCAGAACATGTGCTGATCATATGACTATTCTCCATCAATAGTATTGAGCCATCTATACTGGCATAGCTATCTCCTACTATTCTAGAACTATCCTCAATTTCAAGAATTGGCAGGCACAAACTATAAACACCAGCATCTCAGTGGGGAGGAAGAGTTGGAAATGGGCGAGAAAAGGTAAGTACTATTAGAAATATATTTTGAAAGTAAGAAAATGTTAACTTCTGAAACAGTACTACTTCTACTCACCCAAAGTTAGAATCCCACATTGCCAAGGTGGAGGGGCTGGTGAATGCGCATCAATCTCAAATCAAGTGGAAAGAGACAGCACTGAAAGAACGGGTGTGCTAAAATATGAAAAGAAAGCACACCAGTGAGGTACAGCAGGTATGCTCTTCGCCAAGCAATCAATACAGTAACACAATTGGGACAGAATTGAATTGACAGGCACCAATGAAGTCAATAAAGAGAAACATAACATAAAATCAGTATGGTGTTGACTAACATGGAAAGGCTCTTGTGTATGCAACCACTTTCCCTGATATGTATGTGTCCAAGGGAAGTGCCATGGGTTACATCAGATTATGTCAAGTGTGGTTATCTGGGCAAAACATCCAGTGAAAATGCCATTAACAGGTAGGATTATGAAAGATATATATATACATACATTAGAGTCACCAGATTCATAATGCTGTGAACGTGACATGCCAAGATCACCATATAGTGCTCGTGGGCCTCGTAAAGAACATTCAGAGTCTGAAAACACAGAGATCTAGGTTTGGTTCCCCCTTGCTTGGTGATATAGCTGATGAGAGTGGAATAGTTAGAATGAACCATAACAATCTGCCCCCACAGGAATGGGAGAAAATGATACAGAAAACAATGAACTGCCAAAAGTTCCAGGATGTTGAAAATGGAGAGTAGCCTCCTTGATGGACCACTGACTGGAAATCTCTTGGGTATCTAGGATAGTTCTTTGGGAAGCTAATTGGGTAGGGTTTTCTGTCCTAATTGGAAAAATCCATTCTTAAGCCCACTCAATATGTTATTCCATTGGGGTTTGTTCTTCAATTCCCAATTTAATTTGGCCCAGCCTTTTCCACTTCGAAGCAGGGATAGGGATTGAGCAGTCTCAATGGCCCTACACAAGGTTTCTCTCTCCTTTAGGGATGTGGAGTTCCTTTCAAGCTCTCATTCCTTTGGGTGAGCTCCCATGTATTCCCTTCATTGGATGCTTTTTAACCACTAGAACTTCTGCCATGATCCCTAGGACCATCCCATTACCCTTCCCCCTGGGATCAGGGCTGTCCTGGCTTGGTGGCTCAACAGGGAACTGATAACGGTGAGGGTTCCCATTCCTCCACCTTTTCTAGAGACTCGTTTGTTTACTGATGCTTCCTTATTGGGTTGGGCGAGTAAGCAGGTGTGACTGACTGATGGGGCACAGGAAATGATGAGCAGGAGCTAGTGATCCACGAAAAGGAGTCTGAGGATGTAATGAGTGAAAATATTGACCAAAAAGAGTATACCACTCAACAAAACACAGAGAGCTGAAGAAGGATCAAACAGCAATACCCTGAACTAGAAGATAAGAGCCTCGTGGACAAACCAAAAAAAACGTCACAACACTGGAGCAGTTGGATATAAAGATGGGCTTCTGTCATGACGATTTGGTCATCCAGAGTCCCAGGGAAAAAAAATCCAAGGTGAAGTGAGGTGGCTCTAGATAGAAGTTCAACTGGAAAAGGTCTATAACTGGTTTCCAATCTCCCATCTTTTGAGGGACAACAAATTAGATACGAGTAAAACCCTGGCTAAGTGGGTACCACCCACTCCACAGCCCCTTTGTGTAGTAGGTCTGGGACAGACTAGGCAAGACGATTGGAAGATGTACGAGCCTGAGGAAGAGGGAAAGAGATCTGGGAAGTGGATTGGGGGGGGGGGACAGAACTGAAGGCAGAAACCTTCAGAGATAGAAAACCTGTATAACACATGGAACTATTATGAAGTATGGAGAAAGTACTCATTAGTAACAAACTAACAATACATAAAAATTTGTAGTCTACAAAGTACATAAAAATAACAAACTTGCAAAACTATGAAATTCAATCTAAAACATAAAACAATAAGAAATACCTAAAGTACAAAAACCACTAAAAAAAACTCAGAAGATAAAAGACATATAAATATCAAACTTATAAGTCCACTCAAAGAACCAATACGACAAAGGACATGAAAGTAAAATCTATCCAGAAAAACATGAGAATGAAAAGGCACCGAGTTAACAACAAAATTTGACTCAAATCTTATCCCCAATTAGATGTGACTAATAAAAAAGAAAAAGGAACCTACAAACTAACTAACATAAACAGTGAGAGGAAGTATAAATAACAAACCAACACCCCCATTAAACTGGTTGAGGTTACAATTACCCAAACAGTAACTATCGTGCAAAACCTGTACATATACCAATAATGAAACAAAAACAAAGTAATAATCAAACTCTAAATGCAGATTTAAACTAAAGTAACTTAGAAGGTAAAAGAATTATAAAACTCTAACTTACCAAATACTGAGCAGAGAAGACATGAAAGACCTAAATTTGGTCAATCAGCACAAGCTCACATAAACTCGCTACACATGGGTATACATACTGGGAGTGAGGAATACACATAAAAAAACTTAACACAGATCTCCTGAGAAAAAGAACAACACCTAACCCAAGAGATTACATCGAGGCATAAAAACAGGTAAAAAGCGCAGCAGAAAGAAAATCTCCATTCAGTAGTTAAATCCTTCCTCACAAAAAATCATAATGTGAAAGGATGAAATCATTGGCCAAATGCAAGACACAAGCTCTCTGCAAACTAAAACCTGTACTTCCCCAGCAGACATCGCCAACCCCAAGACCTGGGGACTCGTGTCAGAATCATTGTTGACTGTTGCGGGAATTTCGTCAATAATAAATCTCAAATTCATATGAACTAATTAGAATTCGAAAATTAGAAATATTTCTAAAACAAATAGAAACTGTGGAAATCAAACACAAGAAGTCAAAAATTGAAGTTGAAACTAATGTAAATTTGTGATCAAGCACAATCAAAACTTTGTAGTCACATGGAGAGCAAGTTAAAACACACATCTGCACAACAGAATGCCATCAAGAATAGGAAGATTATTCTAGAATAGTACAGTGAATTAGCTGTGCCAGCACAGTTGGCATAGTATGATTGGTGGAGAGTAGTCACATGATCAGCACTTTCTTAAATGGTGCAAAACTGATGGGAAATAAAGACTGGTGCACAGTAAAGAAATTTGTTTTAGCAATGCTTAGAGGGCAGACATGATCAAGATAGCTTTGTGTGAGAGTAGGTAGTACTGTTCCAGAAACTGTTTTCCTATCAATTATTCTGCTGCTGCTAAGCAAATAAATTAAATCATAATATGCACTAATCAATGGCATTTTACCTGCTTTGAAAACTAAGTACGCAGTCATCAAATTATTATTATAAAAGAAAAAAAAACAAAAAAAGAAAGAAAACTCAAACTACAGATTCACAACATTACTTATTTTTGGATCACAACTAGTAAATAATCATCAGCATTCCACTTCACATATTCTGTAATATATTTTAGAAAAAAAAATAAACAACCAATATTATCAGAAACAAGGACACAAAATTTCTAACCCAAACTAAAAGGGTAAATACCTGAATGAGCAATTCATTGATTCGGTCAGTTAACACCACAATTTTTTCTTCACTATTTTTTGAAAGTGGCATAGATGCTACCTGAAAAAAGAAAAATAATTTTCAAATGAAAAATAAAATAAATGTTGATTTTAGCAGGAATGTACCCTTGCAATGCATAGAATAATTTGTATTACACTCAGACAACTGAGTGTATCTGAGTTCTTGTGACTTTCCTGTCATTCTCTACACATAGCAGCAGACATGCATCTTTATTATAGTCCATTTTTTTAAGTTATATAAAATCTTTCATCAATAAAATAAACAAGTGTTGCACTTCCAGTACTGTTATTACTCACTCTATTTACTTTGGTACAAAAAAAAATGTCATGGTCTTATGAAATAGAATAATGTTGTAATTTGCGTAGGTTAGTGGAAAAAAAAAGTTTCTGAACCTTTTCCATTGCTAATCTGTAATTTTCAAGGACCTAATTAATGATCTTAACAGACTGCAAACCCTGTCAAAATTAAATAATTAATGTTTTATTATATTTTTGAAAAATTCAGTAACAAATATACAAAATTTTCAAGCAATAAATAAGTAACACCTGAGTTACTGAAAAAAAATACTTCTTCTAGCAAATAAAAAAAATGAAATGAGTCATCAACAGAAATCCTATATGCTTCTAAATACTGTACTTCAGGTATGGCCAGGTGGGTAGGGCACTCGACTCGCAATCTAAGGGTCGCAGGTTCAAATCCCCGTCACACCGAAACATGCTCACCCGGGGTCAGTCCTACTTCCAGATACTCACCTCTAACAGAATTTGGAGGTGTGAGAAACACCATACAAAACTAGTGCTACTTTGGCCATAGCTGAAACTCCTTTAGCATGTAAACAAAGTCAATTAATACTTGTTGAACCTATTATTTCAACTTGACAACAAGTCAACATGTACCTGTTAGGCTTCTGAACATGCATCAAAACATATCATCAAGGCAACAAAGCAAAAATTCACATTCATATTGTTATTGAGACCACTTTTGTATTTTTATGCACATTAACAATATTGTTTATCTTGTGGTTTTTCCAACACAATTCTATTCCATTACCTTTTAACATCTTGTCATTACACCTAACAAAGATATTTTCAAAGACATGGAACCTTGTGGGTCAATAGAACTTTTATTTTTCAATGTAGCATTTAGCCTTTAACCTTTCTTGTACAATAACACATACCCGCACCTAAATATCTTAAACAATAATTGTTCTGTTCACTTGCAAACACAGAGGTACATAGTTCAAAGTTTGTTACTGAACAGTGTTGATGAGTTAGTGTATTTCCTAGTTCACAAACCACATATTCTAAATATCCATTTTTCATGAAACTGAGAAAAACACAATGGTATGACTTATTGTAAATAAAAAAGGGTGACATGGATGCTCTGGAGCTACACCTTCAAGGAATTTTCCAGAACACCTAGATAAAAACCATAGACTTTCTGAAATCTTCACCACCTGTGTGAACCCTGCAACCAACTACCTAAATTAACCCTTTTGCAATGGGTTTGTGTTTTTTACACAGTCTTGTAAACATAAAGGTATACATGCTACAACTCTGAAAGTACTTAATGTAGCTTCACAAAATTTGTAAACTTTCAGTGAACATTGCAAGTCTTTTCCAGACAAAAAAACAACAAAAAACCTGAATTTCTAAGTATTTTTATTAAACATTTGTAAACATTTTGCTTTGACTGAACAATAACTATATTATAATAAGTAATTTTCATTAACTTTCATACTTCTCAGAGGAGGGTAAATATATTAGAGAAGAGAGACCAATAGAATAAATGTCACAATTCTCATACTAGAGTAGACTGACGATTTTTTAAATGTTTCCTTATAAAATTAAAAACGTAAAACGTATATATTATTAAAATATTATTTATGAACTACATTTTAATGCCAGGTTCATTCATATACATCAATAGTAAATTAGTTTAATTACATTTTAAATGTAACTCTGCAAAAGGTTGTTAAATGAGCACTTTGACCTACCCAATGCAAAAAGAGTTAACACATACATTTATTCATGACTTAACTCCCTGATCTCAAACATTTGTTTCTGTGTATTATTAGTTTAACAAATTGCTTGCCTTATTTTGTGCTCATCAGTACAAGTAAATGAAACAGTCTTTTATCTAAAAATTCACTTATTTCTTGAAACATGTTCAGCCTTTGAGGATGAAAAAGATGCAGCCTATATGACCATTATACTTACATTCTGATGAAAGATTTTAAAATACAGAAATAAAATAAAAGAATCTTACCTAAATTGTTTAATAAGTTTATATTTCTTAACCCTTTGAACTCAATGAACTTTTAAACCTCTTTCTGCTCATGTCATGAGATTTTACTGAGTTAAATTCAAAATTGAATTAAACCGCTTTTCTTTAAACATATTTTCATGAAATTACTATTATCAAGTACATTATAATCTAAGGATTTATATTATCTAAGTTTTAGTCCTTTATTATAAAAAGAAAAATCTGAAACAGCAATTAAAACTACAGTTTTTGCTGTCATGTGATCCACTGTGGTTAAAATTTTCATGTTTTAGAGGTCTTAGACAAGAAACTAAAGTTCCTAATACAGACTGTTGGTATAGACAGGCAAAGTACAGTTCCAGCTGTCTCTCATTAGCTGGGGGGGAAACTTCCAAGAATTTTTTTTTCTGTGTGAAACAACATTCTAATGTTTCTAAGTTTAAGGTCAGCCATCCCCACTTGCAAAGTCAAAGCTTTGTTGTCAAGTGACACTTTGAAGTTAAATAGTATGTTTATAACCAATAGAAAGAGCAGATTTCACACTATTCAGTTATAGCCTGAAGAACCTCTACCTGTGTATGGATCTGTAGTATGAAATAGAAAATAAGCTTAGTCCATTGTTCTCTTAAGGGGTGTGTAATGTTTGGCAAGTGTTTCTCACCTTATATGTATTTGTTTGCTAAACAGTTATATTGCATTTATATCTTAATTAATTATGTATTTATTTGTGTTTTAAAATGCGTATTTGAAATGTTTATGATTTTTATATGTTTAACTTGTAGTTTAGCCTTCCAAAATGTTTAAGCAAGATGGCATCATTCGTGTGTGTTTGGAATTTGTGCATGAGACTCGCCCTATAATAAGCAACTGAGCACCACGCAGGACATGTTGTGGATAATGAATAAAAGACAAAGAACTGGAAAAGAAAATTAAAAACAAACTACAAGTGAAAAGATAAAGATGTGAAATTATGCATATGACAGAAAGAAATATTTAAACTATTCTTTAAAATTTAAAAGGTATGTACTTACTTTCATTTCTTAATTTTAAACATTTTATTGCACTGTACGTTGATGATGTCATCTGGAGTTAAGTGTATAATAGAGAAAATTGGAAAACAACATATAAACATTACAACTTTTGATATTCATTTAGAAGGTTCTAGAGATTATGCAAATGAAATGTGAAACTGAGATAAGAAATAGTATTTTTATACTCAAAATAAAAATCACATTGCATCTGAACTATTCAGATTAAATAATGAATGTTTTATTAGGAATAGTAGAAAAAATCCAAATTAACTATTTTATTTTTCTAAAAGTACATAATCATAGGACTGTTCAAGTCAAGTTTAAAACTATTCCATCAACTAGTTTCATTTTTAAAAAGAACTTTCACAAAAGTCGCATACCTACTTACAATGCAAGTAGATCGCAGTCAAATGGATAATATGTAAAAACCTTGAAATATTTAATTATCACAGTTAAAAAATTCTAGGAATCTGGGATTTAAATGGTGTTTCCACTTCCACTTATCTCAATCATGTAACTATTTAGTGAGGGATTTCAAAAATATTTGAAATTTTCTTTCATAATTTTTTTTTATAGATCTACATTCTAATTTAATGTAATTTGATTGATTATATTAATTTTTTTTGCTGTAGTTGAATTATGCTACGGGGCTAACTAATTTTTTGTTTGTATATATTATTTAACTTTTATTATAATTATTTTCAACATTTTTAATCTTATTTTTGTGCCAACTATAAAAATTATCTTAATTTGTACATAAATGTTTTCCTTCCCTTATTTTCATGTGTTAATCATGAGTTATTTTCCTATATGTTTTAAAAATTAAAACAAAGTTTCTCAGTGCAACAACTTATTGATATGGCTCACCCCGCCTTCCTGGTGCCCCAAAGCTAATCGTTTTCTTGCTCGCTGGATCCTTCGTTCCACATCAGAAAGCATTCCTTGACAGAATTTGATGAAATCATCTTCATATCCCATCTTTTGAAAACGATCACTCTGCTCATATCTGATGAAGAATTATACATTCAAAGTATTTTAAAACTGGTCCACAATACCATCATTACAATTACAACAGAAAATTCATTATTGCATTAATATCCAGTGGACAATAATAAAAAACAAAAATGTAACTTTTTCACAGCTTCCAAACGTATTTCCATTTCATAGTACATCTGTTACACTTCAGAAAAAAATAATGAAAGGGTAAGCAAAAATTAATATATTAAATAGGTGTGTGTTTATTGGATATTAAAAAAATAATTAGAAATAGCTATAAGGTTACAGCAAATATTCTTTGAAGCGATTGGTTATTGTCAATCACCACATCCTCTCAACCTATACAGCTGCGCTTACCTTTATAAGACACTACACAAGTACCTACAGTGACCTAAAGAAGGCCTCAATACAGAAGCCGAAACGTCGTCCTCTTTTGATTCAACAGGCATTAAAGTTCTCCAAACTAATATTTCTACTCTGCTTAAAGTTTCACTGAAACAACATGTAATAAGTAAGCAGTATATTAAGTTACAGCTACATTGCTGTTTAGTCTAAACAAGGTAAAAACACACAACAGACATCACTGTGATTAGTTATTTATTAATGGCCACTAAACCACAGCTTCATACAAGTTGTGTATAAGTGGAATGAATACACAATAACGAACCAAGAGAAATAGTACTAACTACTGCATCATGTGTGAGTTGATTTGATATGTATCTAAAACTGGACAAGTTTGTCTGAATTATGGCAAACCTATCAAGGCTATCTTCATCTTATATTTTTTATATTTCATTTATATAATTGCTAAAACTTCTTAAATGAATGTCTTATTATTTTTTTTGCACACACTGGCCTAATTTTGCTAGGCCTCAAATTTTCTCACTAAGTTGGTTGTTCAAATAAAATTCATGCAGCTTTCAAATATGCATATATCATTCACTGGAACAACAAACTACAACACTACTACAATTTAGCAAGCTTTTTCAATAGATTAAAAAAAACGTTCGTAATAAAGTAACAGTCGTCACAAATGAAGAAATTATGCCCAATGTACATGTATGCACATGAGAATCTTGTGTCTTGATACCATAACTTGAGCTATGCATTTGCTAAGTGATTTCTAGTTTGTTATGCAAGTGTAGTAGCTAGACACAGCTTAAAGAGCAATAAAACAAATGTATACAATTATGAATCTGAGGATGTTCAAGATACATAACTTATTATTTGTTATAATCAACAGTCATTCAAAATATAAAAACAGGGGAAATTAAGATTTATTTCATAGTTTCTGTTCTGATTACAAAGTCATTCAAATGGACTAAGCCCACAGTGTTAGAGTAAAGAAAACAAATAAAACTGAAAAAAAAAAACCTTTAGACATTCATTTAGAACTATCTAGAGGTTGTGCAAATGAAGTCTGAAAAATAAGGTGAAAAAAGTATTTTTAATCTTAACATGAAAATCACCTTGCACTCAGACTAGTCAGACTGACTACATAAACTTACAGACTAATCTTTATCAAAAATACTTAATCAAAAAAGAAAACTAACTTTTGTTTATGTACAAAAGTTGTGTAATGTTTACTGAAAGCATGCCAACTTTCATGAAGATAAATTTACTACATTAAAAGTTATAGTATGTATATTTTCATGGTTATGTGGTGGTTGAAAAGTTGGTCAAAATGACAAAGCCCTTATAGTGCGGGTTACAACATTTTCATTTTTACATCACTTCTTATTGTTAAAAAGAAAATCTAGATATATAAACCATATGAATGCAGGCCAAAAAAAATCTGTCAGTCCTAGGGACTGATAATATTTTTTTATCATTCCTGAATGAATTTTGTCAGCAAAATACCTGTATATTCTAATTAATGTGGATACTGTATGGTACATTTTGTGGTATAAATGATAAATATTTTTACTAAATTTTCAATAAACAAATTCATATATATATATATATATATATATGATGACCAGACTCTTGAAATTCCAATATTAATAGGGTTGTATGAAGATTTCTGATAAAATATGCAAGATAACAAAGGATTACATTACAAAGCACTCTATATGCTTTGAACCTTGACATTTTGAACCACCATACAAGGATGTATTAATTTTCAATTAAGGAAAAATCTCTACTGAAATATCAATTAAGTTATATATATACAAAATTTAGTCTCTTTTAAAATGTAAAACAATTTTCAAATGCAGTAAGTACAATCATTCAGAAGGTAAGCTCAGCAGCTACATTACAAAATTATTCTGACCAAGAGTATTTTACTTTTAAAAAATGCTTATATTCATACAGATGCTAAAACACACACACATGTACATAATTTAACATTTAAATCAAATAAAACCAAAACTTACTCTTTCCTTATCCTCTCATCATGAATTTTGCTACATATTCCTAGATCTGCTTTGGTATTAACAAACAGCTCATTTGGGCAAAACTTCACAAGAAAATACTTGCACACCTACACCAAAAAAAAATGGGGTTAACTGTTAATAATAAATGTATACATCTATCTGTGTATATAATTACTATGAACAGACAAATTATTTGTTCATAAGTAAGGATTAAAGTTCTAGCTACATGTGTAGCAAAAATACACACACCAAAATGAAATTTTTCAGAATAAGCAATTTTATGAAGTTGTTTTTACACCTCAGGGATATTATTTATTTCTTCATTTTTTGAATAATAAATAATCAAGTTTTCTAACTCAATATCTAATTCTTATTAGTATCTCTACCATCTACAAGTTAACCGAGTCTTTAGAAAACTATTATATTTGTTAATCACTAGCCATGTCCACTAACCATACCCCGTCAAAATAAATCAAAATGTATGCTCCAAGTTTTGGAGACTTCTACATGGGATTATTGGTTAAACTCAATGAGTACAAGGTTTTGTTTCAGTGCATTGATAAATATAATGTGTGTGCATGTGTTTGTGTGTACTTTTTGGTTGTTATATTTTGTACAGTAGCCAAATTTCTATTTTTGTAAATGAAGTTCAATTAAAATCTGAAGTTTAGAGCTCTAGCTATCATGTGAAAAGTGGATATCTACAGATAGATTGACATCATTGTTTCATTGCTATATCTCTTCCAATCACATCAAACACTCAAGAGCTTCCATTAGAAAATCTTTCTACACATAGAATGTTCAATGCCAACAAATCTATGAAAAGAAATAACCACCAACACTAAATTACTACACTCTTTCAAACTCTTGAAAACTAATGTAAATTTTCTAGACTGTTGCTGTACTTTAGCAACATATAAAGTTTTATTATAATAGCAATTTAGGACCAATTATCAAATCCCTCTCAAGTTATATGCTTTTCAATTATTACTGAAACTATAAACATAATTAACATACTTCTGACAAAATCTTTTCAACCAGATATTTCCTTTCAAACAAGTACGTGAATGATTTAAAGAAGGATTGTCAAATATAAAAAAATGATGTACTACATGTAACTACTGTAATGTCAGGACTGCAGGAATCTCATATTCTTCCAGTGTGTGTCACCTTCAAAACAGTACATTGTAGACTTGGTGGCAAACCTGCTATTCTGACCTGTCAATACAGCTGGCGGAATGGATGTATTTGCTTATCAATTAATTGGTGGCTCGATGATTGAAATGTGATAAAATACCAAAAACAATGGCTGATATAAGCACAAAAGTTAACATTTTCTTACAATGAAAATGTATTTCTGGTAGGTACTTCTAACACAAAGCTATCTCAATCTTCTTTCTACCCTTTAAGCACTGCAAAAAAAATTTTCATGCTCAGCACACCAGTCGATATATCCTATAAATTTTGTGCCACTATTGAACATTTACATATGTGACTACTCTCCACCAATAGTATTGCACCACCTATATTGGCATATCTAGCTTCCTCTGCTATTCCCATTCAATCTTCACTTTCGAGAATTGGCAGGGTCTAAAAGAAGAACACCGGCAGTGGGAAGTGTTTGAGAGCAGGCGAGTACCTATCAGAAAATGTTAACTTCCGATACGGTCTTTCCTTCACTCACAAAAATCTGGAATCCCACACTGCAAAGGTGGGGGAGCTGGTGTAGATGCACAGCACTGAAACCAAGTGGAAAGCAACTGCCCAGAATGAACAGGTGTGCTCCGAGATGAACTGAAGCATACATGGGGCACCTCACTACTTCTGGAACTTCTTTGCACTAGAAGAGAGAAATGAAACTGATATGGGTAGGAAAAAAAAAGGATGTGCAAAAGTGTAATTCCTTCTGAGAGGTGCCATCCATAGTAAAAAACAACTCGACTTAGCTACATACTCAACCTCAACTAGATAGATGAGGTGCCAAAACTCCTCCTAGGCATTAGGAGGTTGAGGACCAATCAGATAAAAAGGAACATAGAGTAACATAAACAATGTGGCTAGGGCGTGTGGACCATGTTACATATACACATGAACCCCAATCATAAGTAAACAGTGTCATATGTCAAGCAACCAGAATAATGAACAGGAAATTTGCATGCGGCCATAACTGGACAAACTCCCAAAACCACCCTAGGAGCAAGAACTACAACAAACCAAATCCTGCATTATGGGTGATTGCCTCAACTCAACCATAAGAACAGGTACAATATATGTAACTAGAATTAAGAGCAGAAATCTTAACTCACCCAACAGTAAATGCTAGGAAGAGACATCCTACATCCACATTTATATCCTGTTTCCAGTATTATGAGGCAGATGAAGTTCCCCAAACTCAACCATAAGAGTAGGGAAGGAACCACCTGCAACCAGAATTGACGAGAGGGGGGGGGAGGCTCTACTGCACACAAGGATAGGAACATGGCAGTATCATCCTGAACCCTGAGGAGGATCCTGCATAGGCTGGTTCTGCTCCAACCGACAACTGTCCACCTGAGAATACACATCCAATGGGAAATGAAAGGAGAGAAACCAGCTTTGCCCTCTTCTCAATGAGTGGATAAATGGTAAGTTAAAAGTCTACAACACACATCACACTGGAGAAAGTGCAATGATTCCCTATTTTGAAAAGCATACTGTCCCCAATTTATTCAATCAAGAGATCAGAAGGGATGGGTAGAAATCTCCTTCTGCTTTACTCATGAAAGTCCATGAGTGACAACCCACAATGAAGTGAAACTTATGGATATTGAGAAACACGTATGTGCCACTCACTGGACATGCTACCAGTGGTCTTGCAGAACAACCCATGTCTACAGCAAGTGTTACAGCACAAGCAATAAGTAGTGCGGGTGTGAGGCAAAACATACCCAACCAGGCAATACACACCACAGAATGGGATCTCATTAGCAGTGGTAAATAAAAAGAGAGGATCCCTGAAAAGAAAACATAAATGAAATGATGTGATAAGACTTACCCCAGTCAAGTGCGAATGGATGTGTGTAGAATCGCCATGAGAGGGAAACGATATCCACCTGAGGAAGATATAGGCAGATTGTGCAAATAATGAATGGTGAAGGTAATGGGAGTAATCCTGAATGATCTACTTCAAAGGATGGCGAGGGTGAACAGCCAATGACATGGTGATATGAAGAATTTGACAAGAAGAAATGTTGTGGAGACAGCGACCTTCAATGGATAAGTCAGAATACACCAGTCTAATGAAATGACAAACCCAACTATTTAGCATGATAGGAAATAAGTCCTGGGAAATAGATGGATTCCAGAGAAGAAAAGGTTGGGAACGTGAATTCCAAAAGGATGCAGTACATGCCACATAAAACCATAATGAGTGAACCAGACATAGAAGCAATTTTGGATCATAATACAAGTGGGAAGTGGAAGATAAAGAAAATGGTATGAAAGTCAAACAGCTTTCACAAGCAGCATAGGTCTTAGGAAGGAAGGACCAGTATGGATACAGGATGACATAAGTGGAATGGTAAAGGATTCTGGTAACATTAATGGCATATATATCTGATTGATGATGTCTGCAAGTGAATAGGAAAAGGAAATAGGTCTTAAGGGAGAGATGGAATACAGAACATGTCAAAGATTCAAAGGGAGGATGGGAAAAAGCATAAAGGACCACACTGAGATTCCAATCATGCAAATCAAAAAAACGTGGAGGATGCATGACCCAAAAGGAGTGAAGGAGGGAAATAAGAGGGGAAAACAAAACCTTAAGAAACTTGGAGAAATGGAAGGTGTTTGACAAGGCTGCCGGATAGCTAGACACAGTCAAAGTGGACAGGCCTTTGTCAAACAACTAGGTGAAGAATTGAGAAGATGATGAATAGAAGGGTGGGAAGGATGGAAACAATGTAGAAGAGAAGGCAGATCATCACTTTTGATAAATGAACATGGAAGGTCTTATGGATCTGGAAAGACATTAAATGTGGAGTCAGTTCCTGGACTGAGGCAATGGACCTGACAATAGCCATGCATAAAGACAGAGGGTAGTGACGTCTGGATTAACGATATCCGACCGAGGTTGATAGAGTAATGGGTAGGAGAGGTTGTACAAGTAAAGGTCAGAGCAGTGGAAACCATGGTTGTGCTGACCAATATGGAACCACCAGGAAAACTAGATGTGGAGTGGTTTGGATAAAACTCTGGGGAGGAGTCAAATAGGAGGGTAAGAATAGATGTGGAACAGGAGACCAAAAGGAAAGAAGGTGTTTCAGTGGAACCACTCCATGTGGAGAATTTTGTTGGGTCGAGATAAACAATCTACAACCAGATTCAGGGTGCCAGGAACATGGCAAGCTAAGACCACCATATAGTGACTGTGGGCCCAGAAAAGGAGATACATGGTCTGAAAGCAGAAATATGGATTTGGTACCCCCTTGCTTGGTGATATAAATGACCACTGTGAAGTTGTTGGAGTGTACCATAACCAGCCTCCCCAACAGGAGAGAAAGAAAGACATGGTCTGAAAGCAGAAATATGGATTTGGTACCCCCTTGCTTGGTGATATAAATGACCACTGTGAAGTTGTTGGAGTGTACCATAACCAGCCTCCCCAACAGGAGAGAAAGAAAGTCGGACAAAGCTCAATGAACCTCCATAACTATGAAAATATTGATATTGAGAAAAGACTCCTCGACCGACCAGAGACTGGAAATCCATGACTGAAGCCTCATCTATCAATATTTAACTTTTAAAACCATGTACTCTTATTTGACGTACATTTAGAACCAACAGGAATAGCATGTTTTAAATTTCATGCCTTCAATGGCCCTTAAAAACTGGCACCAACAGATGTTAGACTATTAGATGATTTTATTAGGCACATGTTAATATTAAAGAATTAATACTATAGCCTTTAACAATTATTTTTTTACCTTAAATTGTCTAGTTAAAATACCAGTTAAATTATAGTTGTTTCTGGACATTTTATTTTAGTGATATATGTATTATTTTTGTTTTGAAATGCATATTTGAAAAGTAATTTCATTTTTCAGTTGACAAAAACTTAAAAAATGTATTAGTCTCAGGTAACTAAGAGAGCAAGAGTCCACAACTATAAGTGCATGTATGCAAGTGTATAGAAAACTGCTAATGTGATGTGTCACTTTTCAGCTATGAAAAAACCAAAAGTCTTAAAAGCAGGCAGTAAAACAAAATTAAAATGGAATAAAGAAATTTATGATATGGTGACAAATAATTCATTCAAAGAAGGAAAAAAAATATTTGTTTTATATCATAAATTTCACAACTTCTTATCACTATACATTGATGATTTAGCTAGTTAGTGTCAGAGTAGTAAAAATAACAACCAAAATATAAAATTTTACCTTAAAACACTTTGATATTCATTTAAGAGATTCTATGAAAACTAAGGTGAAAACAGCATTTTTATTCTAGTGTGAAAATCACTTGGCACTCAGACTGAATCAATAAAGGTTTCATAATTCAGGGACAAATTGTTAGTAAAAATAATTAAAAATCTGATTTTTTGTGTATAACAGACTTATAAGATTTACTAAAAGCTTGCCAAATTTTATGAAGATACAACTCAATTTACTAAGTGTATGTATAATTTTATGATTATGTGGTGATTACAAGGTTGGTCAAAATGACAAAACCTAGATAGACAGCATTTAATACTGTCAGTAAATCTGGGTAATTTATTAACCATTAATAAATCAAATTCTTTCCCAAATTCCAATAGAGGACAAAACTTACTTTTAAACCTTCTTAACAGTATATTTCACATTACGAAACCTATTCTTAACATGTTCGCTGCCACATAATAAATTAAGTATAAAAAGTAAACATTAAAGAGGTGCAAAGGAGCAGTCACAGTGTCTCAAACTGATATGCCACAAGAGAAATTTGGGTTTGAAACATAATTGTCTGTAACCCACCGGTGTGTCACGAGGTCCATAACTAAAAGTCAATTGTGACCCATTGGTGGGGCACATGGCAGCAAATGTGTTAAATGTATTTATGAATACTAATTATTAAATAAAATGCAATTTTAAACAAGTACATATTACTGATTCTTTCCCACAGAAATGGTGTTGCATTTGGTTTAAAGAACACCAAAAACCAATGTTGAAAAGAGACTTATTTTATGTTGCATTTACATTCACAAGAATACTTAAAACATTTTTTTAAGATGGACTAAACAATTATAAAAGTTTTTAGAATTTAATACAGATTTTACTTTATCATACATGTCATTAGGGTAGAAGAGCAGAAAGTATTTAAAATTCATTTTAACTTCAATCTTTGCATGCTTCAACCTTGACCTGTGATATAATTTGTAAACATAAGAAACACGGCATGGTAATATTCATGAATACTACTTCTGCTAATAGTAATAGTAGCAGTAAGGCAGGGTTTTTCTAAGTGTTGTTCGCAACCAGTTAGATCATGGAAAATTTGTACTTGCAAGCACTATGGACAATATTTTGTTATTCTGAAAAATTATAGAAAGAATTATTGAGTTCAGACATCCAAGAACCTTGTTCTCCCACAATGCAATGTCCGCATAGCAAAACAGCAAACAAATAAGACCATTTGTGTTTGTGACGATCTTTTGTTGTTCCAAATCTGTAAATATGGTAAAGAGTTTTGTGTATTCAACTGCACCAATAACATGCCAGAAAGACCTGAACTTTCCTTCTATTTGATACCCAGTTAAGCTACTCAAAAGGAGAGAAGATTGTGGCTATCAACCACAAAACACAGGAAGCAAGAGGAAAACTGTGGGAGCCCAAGTCTGACTATAGCTATGTGTGTTACATACCTCATGTTTTTACAAGGCAAGTGTACGTGTCCAGGTACCGCACACTGGGCCATTCTGTCAGGTTGTTGATCCATGAGTTGGCAGAGTGCTGATAGTGACAAGAATCAAGCCCAATTAATTGTAACTTTACTCAATACCTCACTAATACTTTGGCCAACAACTTCTCCACGTATTGATAAGACATTGCAATTGATAATTTGACTACCAAACAATAATATATGAACAATAATTGAAGAATTTGCAAGCAGCTTCAGCAGTAAAGTGTATATGGTTGACCTTTATAAATTGCATATTTGAAGCTATACTTGCTTCACTATTGTTTGCCTCTTTGTCAAGATGACAATCATGTTACAGGCAAAATTACATAACTGTGACATCCACCGACCTCGGAAATGGCAATATTTTATTACATTTTACATAATAAGAATAAATAAAACTATAACAATTTTTTAAAAATCATGACATGCAAATACTTCTGGAAATCGGTATTTTTCTTTTTATTAATAGTGCAATACAAAATGTGGAAACTGACTATGAGTATGACTAACAAGTCTACAACCATGCTTCAAGTACGAATAAATAAAACTATAACAATTTTTTTAAAAATCAAGACATGCAAAAACTTCTATGAGTATAACTAACAAATCTACAACCACGATCCAAGTAAACGTTTCAGTAAAACAAGCGCAAAGCTTGCACTAAAAGCGTTAAATCCCAGTCTCCTTCCAAACGTTTCTGCCTATATTATTAATAATTAATAAGCCTACCTCTGAATTCCACACTTGAAAATAGAAAACATGTGACTACTTCCATGGTATAACAAAATAATTACCTCTGGATTATTCCAACTTGCATCTTTACTCCATTGCGAATCTTTTTTCGATTCTGTAGGAGCTAAATTGCGATCTCTCCCCATTAACTCATCCAACAAAGCTTTAGCTGAAGCCAACGCCATTTTGGAGGAAGGCTGTTATAATTCCAAAATCCTAAAACACCACTAGGTCACACTGGGAACGCGTGAAAGGAAATTCGAGCATTTTTTATTTATTTATTTTTTAAACAAATGTTTAAACGTTTATAATAACAGCAGTAATAGATAATATAAATAATTTCTTATAAATATTCACGTTATAGGCGCAGTGATGAACTTCAACATAATCAATTGGAAACTGTATACTTTTGAAACGTATTATTATTATTAGTAGTATTAGCGATAAACTAACGTCAGTACTTTCATTTAATAAAAAGAAATTATTTTAATTTTTCAATCATTTCATCAAAGTAATGTTTAGATTTAGTCTTTTTTGTCGCGTTAGGGATATGTCATGTGGAGTTATATGAAACGGTGTGAAAATAACCCGACTAGCTATATTTTTTATTTGTGTTTTAATATGGACTATTTAATAGTTACATTACAGTTATCTTCTTTTTTTACCGAAGGTTTGTTTGTTTGAATTTATGCACAAAGGTACACAATGGGCTATCTGTGCTCTGCCCACCACGGGTATCGAAACCCGGTTTCTAGCGTTGTAAGTCTGCAGACATACCGCTGTGCCACTGGGGGGCTTTACGGAAGGTAAAATTAAACATCAGGCCGGTGGTAGAACTGCCTATGTAGGAATGGCTCGGATTGATCATCGAAATTGTATTTTAAACATCTCTTCAGTAGGTTTATTTGTTTGTTTGTTTGAAGTTAAAAAGACAGTAATTTTCTATATTTTTGTAGTTTTAGAAAGAGTACACTATCGTGAAAAAGACACGGATAGTAACTGACTCAGTAATAGTGCTTTAAACAAAGACATCTTGCTTGAACAGATTTATATTACTTTGAGTTCTAGAGGTAATTTAGGTTTCTTCGCTTCTGTGACAAGAAGAAACTTTCGTTGTTTTTATTACTTGAGGTGATTTTCAGTTAGTTTGGAGTGGATTCAGTAAGCCGAACCTGTGATTCGTGATTTATTTTCAGTTCTGAACTTTCTTAGGTGGTTAGATCTCATGTTATCTTTAATTGACAACTGAAAAAAATATTCTACTTGCCTAATAGAAACCGTTTTGTTTAGTAAAGAAAAAAGTTTCAACATCTGCTACTGATATGTTTCGCTTATACCAGTTGTGCACGTGCAGTGCAGACAATATATGGCCTAGTTTTTATGTGTGTTTTTTGTGCATTCGGAAGTAAGATTTGTTGAATTATTCGCGTAATTTCCGGAAACCCTAAATATATAGAACGCTAATAATGATTATAGTGTCGTAATATACACCAAAATTGCCTTTTAAATATTTCTCCTGTAAACCACAACTTTCCGCAAGTTAATTTCCAGTTAAATGTTTATGTGATGTTTTTTTTTACTGTGTATTTTAACCGTTTTGTAAAGCTTTAACACTACATGATCAATGTTCTAAAGGTTTTTATGGCAGAATTACAAGACACTGTCTAACAGATGCATGTTCCTTTTCTAGAAGACAAGATACATGCCGTAAGTAGACCCCAAATGTACAATAAACTACGTTATTAAGGGATTCAGATAAGCTGTAATTTCGTACATCGTATGGCAGATAGCGACGAGTAGCGGGAGGAGAAAACAACACACCTTTCTGAACAACTACTATCTCAATGATTATTAGTTGTCTTTATCTAACATAAGACAGTTAACGATAAATGGCTCCAACGCCAAATTTAAACTTCGGAAAAGGACGTCGTGCTGCCAGTAACGAAAAATACGATGCTCTTAACTGTCTTATCGATTTCTTTAACTTTTAAAAACAAGACAAGAATAGAAGCGTGCAGATATATATATGAAAACATTTTTCAAAGTACGAAAAAAATTAATATACTCTAGTTATTTGAACGAATTGAATAACACCGTTTATAGATTGGGGTGTGAGTTTTAATTTATTATAAGTAAATCCCTCTGTACTTGATAACTAAAAACCAAATGAATGGAGTACACTATTCAACAGCGAAAAGTTGATATTAATTATATTCGTCTTTATTGTTCAAGCTATCTTGAGCATTAATGAAAGTTCGAACGCGTTAGCAGCCTGCTTTATATACGTATTTGGCGTTGGTGGGCTAGAATGACACCTCAATGCAGATGTAGGTCTGATGGAATGGCATTAGTAATGTATATGTGGAACTGATACAGTTTTACTTGTAATGTATATGTGGAACTGATAGAGTTTTACTTGTATATATGGAACTGATAGAGTTTTACTTGTAATGTATATATGGAACTGACAGAGTTTTACTTGTAATGTATATATGGAACTGATAGAGTTTTACTTGTAATGTATATGTGGAACTGATATAGTTTTACTTGTAATGTATATATGGAACTGATATAGTTTTACTTGTAATGTATATGTGGAACTGATATAGTTTTACTTGTAATGTATATGTGGAACTGATATAGTTTTACTTGTAATGTATATATGGAACTGATAGAGTTTTACTTGTAATGTATATGTGGAACTGATAGAGTTTTATTTGTAATGTATATGTGGAACTGATAGAGTTTTACTTGTAATGTATATGTGGAACTAATAATGTTTTACTTGTAATGTAGATGTGGGTCTGACAGACTTACATTTGTAATATAGTTATGAAACTGGTAGAGCAACGTTTGTAATATGGCTTTACATCTATTAGAGCACCCCCAGTGGCACAGCGACATGTCTGCGGACTTACAAATCTAGAAACAGGGTTTTGATATCCTTGGTGAGCAGAGCACAGATAGCCCATTGCGTAGCTTTGTGCTGATCCACTTGCAATTAATAACAACATTGATGCTGCCACATCTTGCAATAACCGAATCCGTATTTATAAAATTTTGATTTATTCATGAGACCTGATCCACTTGCAGGTAATAACAGCAATGATGCTGCCACATCTTGCAGTAACCGAATCCGTATTTATAAAACTTTGATTTATTCATGAGACCTGATCCACTTGCAGGTAATAACAGCAATGATGCTGCCACATCTTGC